ACACCACAGTGAGGTGTAAGGCCTTGTTATGTTGGTCCCCTTCCGGGGGCAGATCCTTGTCAGAATAGGAAATCAAATTGCTCGTACTTCGCAATTCAGTAGTGAGAAAGTTGACCGGTCCTTGAGGAGTCATATCATCATCAACTCCTATATTCACCAGAGCATTCATCACAGCCTTTCGATGCTCGTGAGAGGTGGCCAAAAGCTTCCATACATTCATTTCCACCTTGGTATATTGTAATTGGTTGACCACATCATTTTTCACAGGGTTGGTGGGATCAAATATTGGTTGTGATTGCGGTTGAGGTGGAGGTGGACTAGGCTGTTGCAACCGTCCACTTATGGTGAGAATCTTGACCTCAAGGTCTCCTCGAACATCTTCACTTGTACCAAGAGACGAACATGCTATAACTTTGAGATAGACGTCTTCATCGTCACTATCCCAAATTCCATTCACTTCTTCATAGCTCGAGACAAATATGACTTCCGGCAAAGGTTCATTCACAGGTTGAATGAGTATTGACGGATCAAAGGAGACTTCATCTCCCATGATAGCAAAAGCATCAGAAAGAGGACTTGTTTGAATGTTAGGCTTCTTACCCCCTGGAGGGACAGGAAGTTGATTAGCATCAATCAGGTCTTGGATCGCATCCTTCAACCTCCAACACTTCTCAGTATTATGACCCTTGCCATGATGAAACTTGCAATGAGCATTAGGGTCATAGCTAGCGGTTCTGTTCTCTGGTCGAGGTTCTGGAAACGGTCCAATTGGCATAATCAGTCCTTGACTATGCAAGCAATCAAAAGCAGCATCATAAGTGTAGGGAATATTTCAAGCATTATCCCTAGCTTGAACCCCACTGTGATTATACACTAAAGTACGGTGGCGTCCAAAGGGAAGGAAGCTAGAGCAAAAGAGTCGCCAACAAGTTTTAGGAACTTGTAAACCGTTCACAAGGTGAAGATTACACCCCTTAACGATCCAGGAGATCGTCAACTCCAATAGGTCTGGAACCATGACTAGTAGTTTGGGGATGAAGGTACAAATTCAACTTAAAAGAGATTGAACCTGCCCTAATAATAGGCCTCTACTTTATTCTGATCGTATTCATGGGCGCTTTCTGACTAACATGCAATCATTAGGTTTAACCCTAAACCTGTTTATCTATGTTGGTTGAATATTAATGCACAAATAAAACTATTATTGGTGATCACTTGAATTATAATCATATTAACCCTAAACAAGATTATTAATTATCTTATTAAGCGTGATTACAAGTACCAATTCCCTTTAAACATGTATAAAAGGCGTGATCAAGCAATAAATAATAAATATAAATCAAGAAACATAATAAAAATAATCATAATAATAAATTATAACAATAAATTATATTAATTATAATCATAATTAAAATAATCATATTAAAGCTAAAGCATAGCAATATCCTAGGCATGATACTAACAAGATTAATAACAAACTCTAGCATGTCACTAAACAATAAAGATCAAATCATTATCCCTAACATGATACTAATAATCATAAATATTAGGAAGAATATAAAAGGCATCATACTTTTAATCATACTTGATATTAGGATTTTTTAGTTATTACCCTAAACATAATACTAGGAAGATCAAAATACCCTAACAAGACGCTAGGAATCATAATAACAACCTAAGAATGATTTCAATATCATAATAATAATAATAATAACCATTAAAGCACTTACTTGGATGCCTCATACCTCTTTCTAATAACAAAATACACGCGTTAGTCACTTCAAGGAAAATAACAAAACAACAATTAAATTAAATAATTGAAATAGAGATTAAGGACCAAACCCTCAGAAATTAAAACCTTTCACGTCTAGGACAAAGGCAACTTCGAACTAGGATAGGTGTTTCTTGGTCTTTTGAATGCGGAATTTTGCGTATAAAATAAGAGAGAAAAGAATTCTTAAAAACTAGAGAGAATAAGAAAACTAGAGAATATAAGAGAATTAGAGAGAATTGGTGAGAACTGGTGGTGAGAAACGGAGATTTTAGGAGGCTATTTATAGAGAAAATCAGCCAAAAAGATAGAAAAACAAATCAGAGTTTCGACGAGGAAAAAATAAGTTAGCGCCAGGCGCCAACCATTAGCGCCAGGTGCTAACGCTAGCGCCAAGAGCCAGGCATTAGCGCCAGGCGCTAATGTCTGGCGTTAGGCGCTAATTAATTTTTTCACGCGTTTTCCAAATTCAGATAAAATTTAACCGTACAGAAGGGCAAAATCGTATTTTCCTTAAAACACTCTTTTATTCTGATTAAAACTCTAAGGAGTCAACAAAAGTCAATTTATCAATGCTAGTTGAATTAGGAATAAAAAGAACCTTCTAGAAGAATCTAGAAAACTGAAACCAATCCTAATTGCATTAGGAATGATAAATCCATATTAGGCCCTCCTCTAGATCATTGGGCCGCATATAAGGCTCAAACCGGACCCAATTTAGTAATTTGGCCATAACTTCCTCATTATTCATCGAAATTGGGCTTATAATATATCGTTGGAGAGATCTTTTAAACCCCCATCCAACTACACCATTATTGGACCCATACTATGGACCAACCAAACTGGATTGACTGTTTTCTTAAAATAGGTTTTTCAAAAATAGGGAGAGAAGAAAAGAAATTAAAATTATCTGCAACACTAGACTTTCCACACTTTTACTTCATTCGATTATGATTCGACGTGAAAGGTACTCATCACCGGGTTTGATTTTGGGGAGACACAAATGGGTGTCTACAGAAGCCCCCACTTTGACTGAGTTAGGAGAAACGAGAGTTTCGAAAACAAAAGTCAAAGTATCAATAAGGACGGAGAATGATTCAGAATGTTCTACGATCCTAAATCACATCTTCCAAAAGACCACCCTTTTCGATTCAATAAGGATGCTTTTGATGGAAAAGTGGAGTTGAGAGAAGCTCGTGGCCCTTTACGTGCAAGTGAGGTTTATCAGCGGGTCAAAGACATTGAGAATGAGTTTGGTAAGCCTTACAAAAGCAAATCAACTGGGGGTTACAAGAAGAAGTCTGAGCTATGGTCTCTTCCATATTGGAGACATTTGGAAGTTAGACATTGTCTAGATGTAATGCATATTGTGAAAAGGGTAGATTCCCACGGCATCTTCAGCATCCAGTACTTCATCTTGTTCTTCGGTTGTGTCTAGTTTGCCAGATAGCACATATGCTTGGCTTCTAGCAGGATCAATAGAAGATGATAAGGGAAATCCTTATTTTCCGGATGAGAAAACAAGAGAGGTGAAAGAATCCATTGTAAGTATGTAATAAGTCTTTATTTCAATTTTGAATATATTTTGTTAAGTTTATGTATTACAACCAAAATTTTCTAACTTGAAGTCTTTGTGTAGGATAATTGAAGAAAGCAACAAGCTGATGGAAAATTTGTTCCTAATAGGCATGATGATATCTTATTTCGTGCCCTTAATAAAAATGATCGTAATGGTCGGGCAATAGCATTTGGCAGTGGAATTGGCATTAAAGCTGTATGGGGATCCGAAAAGAGGTGTAGTGGCCGAGGGGTAGGGAATTCGGAGATGATGAGCTGGAAAAATTAGAGGCAAAAGTAGCCCGGAGGGTACGAGAGGAGACTATGCAGAAGATGGATTCTAAAATGGATTCCATGATTCAAGAGAAGTTTATGTTATTTGCTAAACAGATTGGTATTCAAATTCAAACTGAATTGATGGAAATGAATAACATAGGCCGGACGACTCAATAAAATCCTAGTAGTTGCCAATCAGTGGGTGATGATCCATTTGCAAACATACAGGTATCCAAAACTTTGTTATTTTATATTTTTTATCTTTTTTTTAATGATTTATGACTGTGACATACTTTTTACTTTGTAACTCAGTTTTCTACTTTTAATAATGATTTTTTCTATATTTGTAAGGAACCGGTTCCTTGTCGGCTATCATTGTTGAAAAAGGACTCTGAGAAAGTCATTGTCGCTGAAGGTACATATCATCCGGAGTTAATCCTTGATCATCATAGTAACCTCCTTCCGGATCACGTGAGGTTAAGTGTTGATGATTTTTTTGACGAGTTCAAAGAATTCTCGGTTCTAGTTCCTTCTTCAGTCATCAAGAAACTTAAGCATGCTCACGGTACATTTACCCAATGGCCGAAAGACTGGGTTTCACTCATGCATGACAAGGTAATTTATTTTTGTAACAATTTACATATAGTTTGCCATACAAATATAGCAAATTGTTAAATAGATTTGCTTTACTATTGATTAGGAATTCATATCAAATAAGAACAATGATAACAACAAAGCGGCCAAAGAAAACATGCGAGACAAACTGAAAGTAGTTTAAAGTGGTCACGAAACAAAAGAGTCCAACACCAATCCAAAAAAAAAAATTCTTATGGGTTATGCTTTGGAAAACTTGTCTCAGAAGTGTGGGTCTTTGAATAGTTTGTTATCTTCATTACCCGAAGGTGAAACTATTAAGGTAAAGGTTGATGCTTGGACCTTTAGTTATGAAGATAGTAAGGACATCATTATCAAACGTGAAGATGTCAATCAACTTCTCACGGGAGCTTGGCTGAATATTTCAGTTTTGCAAGTTTTTATGATGTAAGATATTCAAATTTCACTCTTCCCATATATACTTATTTATTACTATTTATAATGTTATTACATGATATATATGTAGGGACTTGAGTGACTTACTCGATACGGTGGATGTGGCTTCCATTGGATTCATGTGTCCGGAAATGATTTCAGAAACCTATTTGCATAGTGATGCAGATCATATCCTACTATACATGACACATGTGATGGAAAAACAAAAATCTAAGCAGTTCATCTTATGCCCATACCATGAAAAGTACAAACTTTGAACTTGTATTTATTTGAACTTTGCAAATTGTTGATATTATTTTACTCTTTTACAAATGTGTGTCTAATTTATTATGTAGGAATAATTGGGTTCTTTTGGTCTTATGCATGGCTAAGCGTGAAGTCATCATCTTTGATTCTTTGAGGCAGAAGCGAAATTTAGCAATTAAGTTTGCAATGACAAAGTAAGTCTAGTTTGTTATTAATTTCATGATTTTATGTGTGTAAGGGTAATATATATGTTATTTGTTTCAAATGTGTAGTGCTTTTCGAAGTTTCAAGGCATTAAGTGGACAATCTAGGGGAAGTAAATTGACATGGCATTTGGGACAGGTTACCTTAATTTCTTACCCTAACTTTTAGTTTCTTAATAATTTAAGTATAGCAATTTAATTCAACTTATAAATATATTACATGTAGTGTCCTCAACAATTGGGTGGACGTGAGTGTTGCTACTACGTCATGCGTTATGTGTACGAAATACTTGACCATCACCATAGCAGTGAGGATCTTATTCAGGTATGAGTTGTAAAATATTTCATTTTTGTTTGATAAATACAATTTGATGTTAGCTATAATCTTGAATTAAATCTTTCCTCTTGTATATTTGTTGTGTTGATAGGATTTTTCAAGAACTACACCATACACCGAGGAGGAGATAAATGAGATTCGAGATATTTGGGCAAAGTATTTTATATGTAATGTTGAACTTTAGATTTACACTTAGCGCATGTTGGACTCTTGTTTTGGATTATAGGCTTGACATAAATGATTTTGGTTAATTGGTGTTGGGATGATGAGTATAATGTCTATGATATTGAGATGTAAATTATTGGATAGGTTGTTAATATAATGCCGTCATTCCCAATTTTATGGGTAGGCCAAATTACAAAGGAGACTCTGCCGAAATTTACATTTGCATTATTCAATAATATTGCATTTTAATTTCAATTATATTAGCGCTAGCATATTACTTTATACCACTAGTAAGGAAAATAGGTACTACAAACATATACAAGGCAATTATTATAATTAAAAAAAAAATTCACCTCATTTGCGTCACTCATTAAACAAACAAGTGACGCAAATAAAGCAATTTTGTATTGTCTAGTCAGTCATTTGCGTCACTCCTATATAAACAAGTGACGCAAATAACAAACAAGAAGTTTATCAGAAGAGTCATTTGCGTCGCTCCTTTATAAAGGAGTGACGCAAATAACAAAAAAGAAGTTTATCAGAAGAGTCATTTACGACGCAAATAAGAGTCATTTGCGTCGCTTCTTTATAAAGGAGCGACGCAAATGACTCTTATTTGCGTCACTCCTTTATAAAGGAGCGACGCAAATGACTTTTAAATCATTTGCGTCGCTCATAGAAGCGATGCAAATACACTATACATGAGCGACGCAAATGAGCCTTTTTCTACTAGTGCTATGAGTATTTTCCCTCAGTTGCGCCGGCGAGATCGTCTCCTTGCAGGTTTCTTGTGAGTGCCTCCTGGGAAGCCGCCACGCTGGGATGTCTACTGCTTATGTCTGAGATTGGATCATCTCGGTTTGGTTCTTTATATATTTGAACACTTTCGCATTACCTTTGATGGATTCTTATCTGATAGGCATTCTTCGCAGGAGCTTGACGTGCTATACCGACCGTGGGTCGGCATGGTTGTCCCTAGGCTAGCCGCGCAGTATACTGCTCAGCGTCGCTACTTCTTGGGGACATATGGAGTGATTTCATACCTTGGAGAGATAGTCACTATTCAGCATTCCTCGGACACTTTCGTCGTTCCTGCTCTTCCATCGCGTCACATGTTCAACGCCGCGAGGTTGGTGAGCATGTTAGAGAGAGCTGGTACCCCTTGGCGGTCTTATACGATCCATGGGCGGTGCTATGAGGAGGAGCTACTACCATTGTTAGCTCCAGTCCCTGTACTGGCTGAGGAGGTGGCGGTATGATTTTCAGCTTATACTTTTCGTTAAGTAGCCCCCAAGTGACGTTTTACTGATTTTGATTTGATTTTGTCAGGCTGGACCTACTGAGTTCGTGCCACCTCGTATGTCCATCCATTATCAGGAGACATACGGACCGATCGAGGAGATGATTCCTCCGGCTCCTAAGGGTGAGCGCTTTGCGGAGCGGTCGATCCCCCGTCACCAGACTCGGGTAAGCTTATTTATTTGCAATTTTTGTCCATAAATGTTATGCATCATTACTGACATTATTTCCTTGACGGTTCCCGCGCGAGGTGATCACGGCGATGGCACGCTGCATAGATGCCTTCGGAGCCAGCTCGTTCGGATGAGGAATGTGGCTACATGTCGTCACGACGACGCCATTCGGGAGGTAGTTTCCCTTCTTATTTTTCACTACTGCTTTTATTTTGCTTATTTCTGATTTAGTTTCTTCTTCCAAGGTCAGCCTATTCCTTCTCATACCCGTACGAGACCTGAAGTGTGGAGAGAGCCGGCAAGGTCTAGCTAGAGACATCGTCGTACTGAATCTGGCGGTCGGGGTGGTCGTTTTGAGGCTGCCCGGACCGAGGCGGTGGAAGGTTCAGGCTCTTCATCTGAGGGTGCACACGCTGCGCCAGTAGGCCAGGGAGAGGCTACCTCGGCTCTTAAAGGTGGTGGGATGTACGAGGTCGGCTCGTCATTGTAGCAGCCTCCGCAACCTCAGCCTCAGGTTGATCTTGGGTGGACAGGTCCTATGCTGAGTTTTCCACCTCCCGAGGTGGCTGGAGCTGGAGCTGGAGCTAGTGGAGAGGTTGCTCCTTGTACAGCGCAGTTTTATGACATGATGGGTGTACGTCCTCCGGCGCCGTAGTTTATTCCTATGCTTTTTTTTTTATTTTGACTTTGTATAGAACTTTGCCTTTATTTAGACTCATTATTTAGAAATGTTTGTACATACGACTATGAGTTTATTTATCTATTATTTTATTATTTTTTCATTTTCATGTGCTTGTTTGTGTGTGCAAAGAATTGTGGTAATTAATTTTTCTCAAAAATTCCGTCATTTTTATTATTGATCGAGGGTGTTCGACTTTCTCCCCCAAAAAGAAAAAATGAAAAAAATAAAAGTAAAGATATTGGATTTATAAAAACTTAAAAGTTAAATCTAAATAACATAATTAATATGATTGATATATTGAATAAGAAGAAGGAAAAAATAATTTAAATAAAAAGTTATAAAAAGAATAAAAATCGTAAAGTCATTGGTCAGACTCGAATCAGGCAAAAAACACGGTTTTAAAAAGCTCATATGATAAGACACGTCAGCGCCTTCTGGCGCCACGCGTTTTGGGTTAGCGCCAGGCTCTAGCGTCAGGCACCAATGTCTGGCGTCTGGCCCTGATGAGCGCTGACTCTGAATCCTTTCGAATTAAAACTGCGCCGATTTTGTGCATAAATAGCCCCCTGCCCAGCCGACTTTCTTCATAATTTCAGCAATTTAAAAATAACCTTAGCTCTTGAAAAAATAATAATCATGTCTCTAGTCTCTAAAAGTTTTACAAACTTCACCCATGAATGGTGTCGGTCTCTAACTGCCAAGGAGAGAAAAGAGTTAGACGTTTTTCATATGGGGGGTATTTATGGTGTCAAAGGGGTAGATCTTGATGTAGACTTTATTCATACCTCCCTAGAATATTGGGATGTGGATACTCATTGTTTTATATTAGGGTATGATGAAATTAGCCCTCCGCCGGAAGAATTCGGTGCTATCTTAGGCATCCCTGCATTAGATCTTGTAGTAATCCCTAAAATAAACGAATATTATTACAAGGATTTTGAGCGCTTCTTTAATTTAAAAGACAAATATCTAACAAATATAGTAGATGGTATCATAGTTAATTTGAAAGAATTTGCTCGCCATTATTTTGATAGACCTTATTCTGAGTCTTTTCATGTTTATAGAAGAAGGGCTTTTCTTTTTTGCATGCTTAATCAATATCTTCTCACTAGTGGTAGAACAAATGAGGGTCAATCAATCATATCAACTGTTTTGGAGCAGATTGAATCTAGGAGAAATCTAATGCCATTAATTGTTGGAGAGACTATGCTTAGTCTTGATGAATTAAAGAAGAATTCAAAAGCACCTTTTCGGGGCTCTCCAATTTTATTACAGGTTGAAAAATAATATTTTTAATTACAGAAATTAAAAACATATTTTTGTATAGTAATAATAATTTATTTGCATTGAATGTTTTTACAGATGTGGCTAATGGAAAGACTAGAATTATTTAGTCCTCCAGATAATATTGAAAAGTACACTCCAAACTGCTTTGTGAGAAGGAAAAAAAACACTTCTCTAAGATGGGGCGCCATGAATGAAAGAAAATCTTCGGATCTTGCAATATTTCCATCAAGTGGGTCATCCCTTGGTGGAAAATAGAAAAGATGATTGGTTTCAACAAGCAACCGTTTTTCTGTCTCCCAAGCTTATCCAGAATGACTTTTTATTATCCTTGCAGGGTAAAAAGACAGTACGACCTACTTCAAACAATTCCTTCCGGGGATCTTTGTCGTCCCTATGAATTTCATGTCTCTCAAGAAGTAGACAAATTTGATTCTTATTGGAGCTCTAGACCTTTATGGGAAGTGATCACCCAAAAGGTTCCTCCTTCCTTGCCCAATGATGTGAAGAAGTGGCTTTTGAAGAAACCTTCAAAGGACATGAAGAAAAATCAGAGTAAAACTGATGTGAAGAGTCGTCTAGGTGACAAAGTGATTCCCGTTAAGGAACGCTTGGGTGAAAGAGTTGAGTTCAAAACACCTACAATTCCTAAGAAGAAAAGCTCTACGGAGAATAAAGGAAAGAGGAAAGCTGACACTACAAAGAAGAAGGCTTTGGTAGAGAAGAAACATGGGGTCCTAGCTAAGGGAGAAACTATTTACTCTAATATTAAAAGTAGGTCTTCTAAAGGATGTCTACTAGCTAAAGTTATGGATGAAGAAGAGGATGCAGATAAAAATTGGAAGAGACCAAAGAAAGAGAAAAAAGATTAAATCATTGCTTAACTTTCAATTATTAGACTTAGTTTTAAATTTAAAGTTAATTTATTTAAGCTTTATTTAAATTCCATCAATAATGTAATTGTTAGTTTATTTTATTAATGAAATTGCAGCTTTTTTTTAAATTAATTTATCTCCTTTAAATTTAATTTATTAAAGCAATGAAAACTGAAAATTTAATTTTCCAGAAATTTTTTCGAGTACGGAAGTCAAATTTCCCGAAAAACACCGAAATATTCCCAGGTACTTTGCAGAAAATTGGCGCTACGATTTTACGACTGGTGCAGCTGCGGCAATCTGGCGTCAGGCGACAGGCGTTGTCGTCTAGCGCTAATGTCCTTTTGTTGGCGCTAGGATTTTTTCTGTGACGCCGACGTTTCGTCGATCTTCTGTAAAATTTATATTTAAGTCTGGGATGCGAGGTTTGAAAAAAATAAA